AGTTTTTTTGTTAGAGTAACCTCTTTTTCCAGGCAGAAGACAACGATGAAAGACCCACATTGCGTTATAGCATCACTGAAGAGACACAAGCCGCTGCTGAGCATTTCATCTTAAATGAAACTACAGGGGTGATCTCTTTAGCAAAGTCATTGATGGGCAGTAGCCAGGATGTCTTCCATTTTGACGTTATGGTTTCCGATGGCGAAAACAACGTCACCAGTCCTGTCATGGTAACGTTATCAATAATTTTTATTGGACTTTATTTGTTTAGAAGTGCATTAACACATCTTTTTTCGATATTTTTGTCTATAACAACTGAATAATTTTTGACTTATGGTATCTTCCCTAAAATTTAAGCCAACTAAAAAGAGATTTGGAATTTTTCAGCTTATTTTTCTTTCTAGAAGTTATTTCTTGGCACAGTATTAATCTTGTTTCTTGGTTTTGCTTTTATTCAGTGGTTTAGATCTACAAGTTATCGCCGGAAACTAACGTCGTTTTATTGGCGGTTAACAAAGATCATCAGACAATCGAGGACTGGGTATTAGAACGTAAGATGACTGAGCAGTTAGGTGTCAAATTTAATGTTTTGGTCAAGCAGCCATATGTTAATGACAACGGCAAGGTTGACCCACAGAGGTGAGTTATATTTATTGTTTTTTTTTTGAACAAAGATTTTTGAAAAGTTTTTTTGGAGAACTAACGTTTTAAAACTTTTTCTGTTTGCTTTCCTTATTTGAATTTCTTTTGATAGTTTTTTTTGATTTTTTTGAAGTCTTACTTTTAGAACTCATCTTTTTGTCTATGCATGTGACGAGGAGACAAATGTGCCGCTGAAAAGAGAACAGCTAAAAGAGTCAGTTGATTTTCAATGACGTTTCCTTGAATATAGGTTTAATATTAACGCTTGTTAGTAAAACAAAATTTGATATGAGGACGCGAAAAGAAGTTTTTTCTGCTACAGTTCTTTCCTAAATGTGGTGTTTATTTAACGTTTAGAACCAGGCGTATGATAGAAGCAGCTTAGCCGCACGATTGCTGAGTATCGCGCGCTGGAAGTTCAAGACTGATGAAATTAATTTTTTTACAAATGATTTTAGGCATATAAAAATGGGTTCATTTCAGACTATTGGAGAAAAACAGTAATAATCTGAGTGATGAACTTCCTAATTTGATTGTATTTTTACCAAACATGAACTCGAATCGAGTATTGAGTAATGCAGAAATGATTTTAATTATTTTCTGTGCATTGCTTTTGTTGGTTTCCTGCTTCGTGTTGCTGTATATTGTAAAGTTCTGTAAAAGGTACGCTACTACTTACACTTTTTTGATTCTCTATTTTTATCAGTTAATATTTTTATTCTAATAATGAAAGATAAAAAAATTATTGAAGTAACTTTATGTAAATACAGAAAGGGGCGAAGCCAAGTTACTGACAGCGAGTACATGATTGATAGTCAGACGGCTGGCCCGCGACCGTACAACGTGGATGAAATCAATAGAAAAACAGCTCAGAGTGTGCTTTCCTCTAGACCGTTACCGGATCCATACGAAACCAAAGAAGGCTATGAGTGAGGCTTAAAACCAGTATCAAAAAGCTTAGCAGACCTAACCTAACTTACAAGAGCATTAATTTGTATTTACCACTTGCTACCTTCTAATACAGTTCTGTTATTACAGTGCTCAGATGCGTTCGGCATCAGCTTTCAGTAACAACGCTTTTGCAGCAGAACCACAGAGGAGAACTACACCACCAGATAATTACAGGTTAAACTAGATCCTAGCTAAATTGATATTTTTCTTTTGAAATTACTCAGAAACTTTTTTTTAGATTTTAAAAAGATTTTATTTTGCATTAAAAGGAAAAATCGTATGCAAAATATTGTCAAAATAACTTAAATTGTATTGCAGTAGTCGGCCCGGCGATACGTATAGCAGTGCTATTCCACGATCAAAAAATAGTAGCGGTACTGAGCAGGTTAACCATAAATTTCCAGCTGTTTTACTTTTCAGCAAGCAAAGTGCTTATTGTGCTCCAACAGTTTTTTGAAAATTTTTTATTTTGCTTTACTTTGAGAGCAATAAAAAGTTATAAAATTTAGAAACGTCGAATGAATGGCGAACAAGATTATCGTGTTGATGAAGCACTGTTTCCTGTTTATCGTTACCAAGGGTATCAGAGACCATGATTTGTCTATATAGTTTAAAATTGTTGTTTGTTAGTTGGAATACAGATATAAATACATACTTCATCGTTGTTGTTGATAGCAGTTTTCGTTTTTCTGTACTTTGTTTAGAAAGTTTGATTGAATGTTTGTTGAACAGTAGTTGTCTTTCAATTTCTGCCTTTCTTATATCTTCAATTTTTACTCACTTGTAGCTGTTTTCACCAGTTATTGTGTATATTTTTTGTACTGATGAAAAGTTGCAAAACAGTAACCAAAGTAGATATATCAAAAAAAATTTCTTTTCAGATGTGTTTAGGTTTTGAGTTCAATCTTCAAGAGTTTGAATTAATTATTTTTAAGATAAGCATAGGAGGAAATTACATATTTTTCAATTTTTACTTTTTATTGATTGTCGAGTAGTTTAGGGAACTAATTGTTTGATAACTACAGAAAATATTATTTTGTGCAGTTGAGAGGATTTAAAATTTGCAAATTAGAGTTTTTGAAATACATTTTGCACCTGCTTTTTACTGTTAGTGTAAGTAAATAGATAAATAAATGAATAAATAAAAGTATATATATACGAAAATAAATTAAATGACAACTTTTCCGGTTCAATTTTGTTTTGAAAAAAATTTTTTTTGCATTCTTTGTACCGGTGCTTTTTTTTTTTTGTTGACTTTTTCAAAATAAAAACAGGATCTATTGTTGATATTTGTATGATAATAGTAGTGGGTGTTTTTGATAGCATTTTGTATTCACTATACTTGTCTTCTATACATATGATATTTCGACGGGCTTTTTTTGTTGTTTAACAGTACTTTAGGATAATTGTAATACAGAACTTGAGTGATGATGAATTTCAGATTGCGATTAAAATTATATAAACTTTTTTAGATGCTAAAGAGGTTTTTTCACTGTAAAATTGGGTAATCTTAGTGTTTTTTTCATTTTCTTTTCTTTTATGAATAATAAAATTTGTAAAAATAAGTAAAATTTGAAAAAGGCCAAATAAGATGAAGCAAAACTGATTTTTGATGTTATGCAATTTGGTATCATAAAACTTGGGTCTTTTTTTTGTTTACGGAAGTTTACTGTTATATTAAAATTATTCATTTTGTTTGTATTCATCAACATTTGTTGTCTGTAAAAATTGTTATTATTTGAAGAA